TTTGTATGTGTGTGCATAGTTGTTACATGACACCAGATCTTCCTGGCCATGTACTTTAAACGTTTTATTATAGGAAATTTCAACCATATACAAAGTGGTCAGAATGGTAGAATGAACTCCCACATACCCATCACCCAGCTTCAACAATTACCAGTCATGCTTTCATCTGCATACTTACCAATTTCCCTCTCCTCCCATATTATTTTTTTTCTTCCCTTTTTTTTTTTTTGGCAGCTGGCTGGTATGGGGATCTGAACCCTGGACCTTGGTGTTACCAACACCATGCTCTAGCCAAGTGAGCTATCTGGCCAGCCCCTCCTTCAGGTATCATATCATTTTTTCCATAAATAATTAAGTCTGTACTCTACAAGATGGCTCTTTTTAAGAAACATAATCACAATACCAACTTTAATTTTTAAATATTAACTTTTCCAGGGCTGGCTGGTTAGCTCAGTTGGTTAGAGCACAGCCTTATAACACCAGGGTGAAGGGTTCAGATTCCCATGCCAGCTGCCAAAAAAAAAAAAAAGTTAAGCTGTGCTGTATTCCTACTTGCAGGGCTATAGTTCAACTATGTACCATATGATGAACAGTTACTCAAGTGCTAAAATACCTATGTATTAGTAAATAGTTGCTACCCCAAATTCCCAGAACTAGCCTCTTCTCAGGGATGCCTTCGATCTCTTCCACAATCCAGAATCTGTTCTGCCTAGTGAGCACCATGCCCTACTGGTTGTTAAATATTTAGAATGTCCGCCTACATGGCATGTCATGTGATGTGAAATAATGTGATGAGGAGTGAGTGAGTGTGTGTGTGTGTGTGGTGTTGTATTTTAAATTCATTGCTGGATTTGATTTGCTAAGTATTATTTAGAAGTGAAATTGACCTTTTTCTTTTCTCATACTGCTCTTACCTGGTTTGTGGCAATGCTATACTGACCTCATGAAGTGAGTTGGAATCTGCCTCTTTCTCTATTCTCTCAAATAATTTCCATGATATTTGCTATAACTCTCCTGTAAAACTATTTGGGCCTTGTTCTATTTTTTCTGTTTGTGTGTGTATGTGCATAGGTGAATGGATTTGTAACTACTAATTCAACTTTTGGTAATAGTTATAGATCATTTCAGGTTTTCTATTTCTTCTTCAAACAGTTGTGATAAGTTCTATTTTCTAGGAAATTTTCCATTTTATGTTTTTCAATGTATTGGCCATAATTGTTCATTATTTAACAAAGATTTAAAACTAGAATTAAACAGATATTTTAAAAAATATTTACGGGCCGGCCCATGGCTCACTTGGGAGAGCGTGGTGCTGACAACACCAAGTCAAGGGTTAAGATCCCCTTACCGGTCATCTTTTTAAAAAATTAAAAAATAAAAAATAAAAAATATTTACTGTGTCTATAGCTATGTCCTTTTTACATTCTCAATATGTTTACTTGTGCCTTCTCTTTTATTCTTTACCAATCTTCCCAGAGATTTGTCTATCTTATGAGTCTTTTCAATGAATCAGCTTTTGTTTTTGCTGTTTTTTCCTTATTCTTTTTTTATGTTAATTTCTGCTCTTATTTTTATTATTTTTCTTCTACTTTATTTAATTTATTGTATTATTCTTTTTTATCTCGTTGATGTGGATTCTTAGCTCATTAATTTTGTCTTTTTTCATNTGCTGCGCTCCCAAGCGCCACACTCTACTGAGTGCGCCACCGGGCCGGCCCATGATGTTGTTTTTGATTTTGAAGTGTATGTTTAAATTTCCAAACTATGTTTCTTCTTTACTTACTTCTAATTATTTACTGCCTTGAATTCATAGAATGTAGCCTGCAGGATACTGACTCTGGTATTTGCTGAAACTTGCTTTGTGGTCTGGTGAGGAATAAATGTTTGCAAAAATTCCATACATTCCTAAAAAGAATGAATATTTTCTATTTGTTGGATATACATATATGACTACATGGTCACATATCCTGGCCGCAACCCAGTCTCATACTTGTCATTTTTAGTGGCTACTGGAAAGTTTGCTTGGCTGTTCCTGTGTATTTATTATTTGTGCTGTTTCCAAGTTGTCACTGATTCTAAGACTTTAAATCTAAGTTTAAAGACTGTACTTATTAGCTTTTGCTGCATGAGCCACCACCCCCAAATTTAGCAGCTTACGATTCTGCAGGTGACCTTTGGGTTTGGGCTCAGCTGGGAGGGTCTCTGGTCTTGGCTGGGCCCATTACTGCAACTGCAATCAGCTAGTGTGTTGGCTGGGAGCCGGCTGTCCAGAGTGGCCTCAAATGGCTCATTGCTGCCCTGCGAGGTCTTTCAGCCTCCAGCGGGCTATCCTGGCTTGTTCACATGGTGGCTGAGCATGATTCTACAACAGGAAATGGAAATTGTAAGATCTTTTGGGGCCTAGGTTCAAAGTTGGCTCAATATCACTTCTGCTGGATTCTGTTGGCCAACACAAGTCACAGGGCCACCCAGATTCAAGGGGTGGGGGAAAAAGACAGCTCCTGTTGCTGCAAAGAGCTGCAAAGTTATATTTAAAAGAGTGAGCTCTAGCAAGAAGCAAAGGGTTGTCACCGTTTTTGCAACCTACCGTCAGCCCCTTGATGTCCAAGTCTTTCCTTTGCCATTCTCTCCATCCATCCACAATCTCCTCTCCCTTCAGGTATCTGCTACCCCTCCCCCCTCCACTGCTCCCACCCATCCTTATAGCCCTACCCAGCACAGCTGCTGCTCCTGAGGCCCCCAGAGAGGTGAGAGAGCAGTCTGCCCAGATTGTGGCAAAAGCTTTGTCCCCCACCCCCTCCCTGGTCATGCGTTGCCTATCTGCTGGCCCCCAGATTGGAGTGGGTGAGTCAGTGATAGGGTTTCTGAGCCACTGTCTCCCACAGCTCGTGTGGGCCACCTCGAGCCAGCTGGGTTGTGGGCGGCATCTGTGCTCCGTGGGCCAAACAGCGATGGAAGCATTTGTCTGTGCCTACTCCCCCGGGTAAGCCTCACAAGGACCGTGGCTGCCCTGCCATCCCCTGCTGGGCTGTCTGGGGGACAGGGAGGGATACTTTCACCCAGGGTGAAACACCCGCCCACCCACCTGAAAGGCCTTCACCCCTTGGTCTGTACCCTTCGTGGGAGAGGGATAAAGAGGGAACTGAGAGTGTGCAGAAGATTCTGGCTATGCACGCATAATGTGGTTCTCTGCAGATGCCCCTTTCTGGAAGCATGACCGTGCTTTCAGGGAAGATGCCCAGAATTAGTTTGGCAGTCATCTTTTCTTTCCTAGGACATCTCCTTGTCTCATCCAGTTCTCTGATTCCTTGGCTGGGCCAGAGGATCTGAAGGGGTCAGTAGGGCAGGCACCAGGCCGACCCCTGCCTTGCCCAAGGCCAGACCCTTCCAGACCTCTGGCACTTGCTCTCACAGAGGCAACTGGGAGGTAAACGGGAAGACAATCATCCCCTATAAGAAGGGTGCCTGGTGTTCGCTCTGCACGGCCAGCGTGTCGGGCTGCTTCAAAGCCTGGGACCATGCAGGAGGCCTCTGTGGTAAGTGCCCTGCCTCTTCCTGGGGCAGCAGGCACATGAGGGCTCAATCTGGTGATCCTGGGGTGGGTGGCAGCACCCTAAATGGCCTGCTAGAAGGGGACCTTTTCTCAGAGTTCCCTCCTCGTCGGACCAGAGGTCCCCAGGAACCCATGTCGCATGAGCTGCCGGAACCATGGACTTCTCAATGTCAGCACCTGCCACTGCCGCTGTCCCCCTGGCTACACGGGCAGATATTGCCAAGGTGAGGGGCTCTGGAGTTCCAGATCATGACTGCACAGGGGACCCAGGGCATACACAGGCAGCCCCCAGGGGTGAGGAGGGAGGCCGAGCCTGGATGTGCACACACTTGCTCTGGTGGTGTGTCCTGGGGCTGCTGCACTCACTGAGAGTGCTTGAGGGAGTCTCGAGTGTGTTAGGAGGTGCTGACCATGACTTGCTGAGTTTGCACACTGCATACATTCATTCAACAGCATTCATTGAGCACCAACTGTCTGCCTGACCCTGAGCCGTACAGGAGATTCAGAGCAAATCAAATTTGGCCCCTTAAGCTCTGGGATGGTGGGAAGAGGATAGAATTAGGAAGCAGAAGTGAATTCTTGTCTCACTATCCCCCCACCCCCATCCTGCTTTGTGACCATGAGCAGGTCCCAAACCCCAATTTGTTTCTCTCTACAATGGGGATCAAACCAAAGATGCCAAGGGTGACAGCAGCTGGAAGCCTTGATGGGCTCCATCTCTAGAGGGGTGTTCTTGCTATGGTTGCCAGTCATGGATGTTCAAGGCCTGTGGGGTCAATGCGGGGTCTAGGTGGCTGGGGCTGAGCGTTGTGCTCTCTGCCCCATCCTGGCAGTGCGGTGCAGCGTCCGGTGCGTGCACGGCCACTTCCGGGAGGAGGAGTGCTCCTGCGTCTGCGATGTTGGCTATGGGGGAGCCCAGTGTGCCAGTGAGTCCCCCTGCCCCCCGGGCCCCTCCCAAGACCCCCTTCATGGGTGCTGGATCACTTGTACCAGCTCACAGGAGCCACCGTGTGCAACTCTTCCCAACTCCTCATCAAGGACACACTGATAGCCTGAAATTGGCCACAGTGGGGGTATTTACACCCCAGAAATTGGCAAATGCTACAAACCTGCACATCACTGACCCCCACTCATTCTCCAGCTTGGAGTGGGTGGCCAGAAGAAGGGGCACTTTGAGCTTAACTCCCTGGCAGGGCGGGAAAGAATGATGATTCCGAGAACCATACACACAAACTCAGGGTTCACCGATGCCCTGCCCCCCAGCCAAGGTGCACTTTCCCTTCCACACCTGTGACCTAAAGATTGACGGAGACTGCTTCATGGTGTCTTCAGAGGCAGACACATATTACGGAGCCAAGATGACATGCCAGGTGCTGGTTGATCCCTGCCTTCCCAGGGACCCTCCCAGGATCCCAAGTAAGGGACCCTGGACTGAGAATGTTCCTTCGACTTCTCTGGCCTCACTCTTTTCATTAGTATAAAGCAGGGGTAAGACTCAGAGGCTCACAGAAGCCAGGAGGTCACTTAATGCCCTGAGGGACCCAGTCACCAGGCCCCCCACAACCTCCATTTAAGAGAGCTGTCCTGACAGCTCCAGCTGCTGGTGGCCACGCAGGAATGCAAGTTCAGGGTGGCCAGAATTTGGGCTGTTTCAAGAGGGCCAGAAATCTAGATTTTCACTGGCATCTCTAGCCTTATTAATGTTGTCAGTCAATTCGAATGTATTTAAGACACTGTGCCCTTCCAAGGGCCGGATGCTGCCCAGGCCTGTGGGCTGCCTGTTGGGCCCTGTGCAGAGAAAGAAGCAGGCAGGGGAGTGCAAGAGGGACCCTACTCTTAGAGGTGGGAGGCTGTCGGCGAGGGGGTGGTGGTGACGGCCCAGCCAGCACACACATGTGACATCACACATGGTGATGTGGGGCAGCCGGATGGGCAGGAAGGGCTGGCCTGAGTACTGGGGCCCTGCCAGTGTGATCCGGGGTGGCGGTTACAGAGAAAGGGCGGGGTGCTTGCCCGGATCGAGAGCCAGAAAGTGCAGGACATCCTCGCCTTCTACCTGGACCGCCTGGAGACCACCAACGAGGTGACTGACAGTGACTTTGAGACCAGGAACTTCTGGATTGGTGAGTGCCTAACCAGTTGGGGGGTGAAGCCCTCCACTGCCCCAGGAACCCTAGGCTGTGACAGCCCAGAGCACCCCAGCAGACAGCAAGGGTATGGTGGGGGATTGGAGCCCAGAATGCGGACAGTGGTCAGGCTGCCACCCTTCCCTGGGGAAAGGGCTAAAGGGAGGGGAGAGCCACCAGGGTGCCATAAGTGCTGGGAAGAGCGGTTAAGGGTTGGGGGCCGGAAAGACATCAGGCAGCAGGATCCTGGGCTTGGGGCTCTCCTACCAGAGTAACTGTGTTCTGGGTGACCCAGGGATCTGGGGTGGTGGGCTAGCTTTGGCTCCCCTGGCCCAGGGCTCACCTATAAGACATCCAAGGACTCCTTCCGCTGGACTACTGGGGAGTACCAGTCCTTCACCAGCTTTGCCTTCGGGCAGCCTGACAACCAGGGGTGAGTGTGGGATGCCCTCCTGTCCCCTTTCTCCTCTGGGTCAGCTTGGCTGAACCTTCACACTCCACCGAAGAAACTCCACCCGGCCTGCTGCCTTGGCAGAGCCTCAGAGGGTCTGGGCCTTACCTGGTGCCCAAGTGCCCAGAGAAGTCTAGGCACAGCTGATGCAGGCACAGTGCCAAAACGAGGGCACTGCTGCCAATCAGGGGCATGTCATATAAAAGAGAGGGAACCCAGGATGTTTCACCTGTCTATCTGTGCCCACTGTCCCCTCCGTTATCCACTTACCCCTCCCTCCACCATCCCACCTGCCATCTGCCCTGTCAACACGCTGACTCCGGAGCTCTCTAGCCATCCACCCCCAGTGTCGCTCATGCACACATCCACCCACCACCGCAGGGAGGGGGTTTGCCTAGACCTCCTGGCCTCCCTGAGGAGAGCTGCAGTGGTCTGGGGAGCAGGGATGGGGCTGTCCCAGACTCCTAATTTTACTCCCTGACCCTGGGCACACCGACGTCCTGGCCCGGCAGGTTTGGCAACTGTGTGGAGCTGCAGGCATCAGCCGCCTTCAACTGGAACGACCAACGCTGTAAAACCCGAAACCGTTACATCTGTCAGTTTGGTGAGGGCCCTCCCGAGGATCCCTTTCTCTGGTCCCTGTCCCCCAGGTACTGCTGGCCCACTCCAGGCTGCTAGGATATCCAGGTTACAAGTCTAGAGAGTGTCTGAGAAGACAGGGCCACGGAGGACACCCTGCTCAGGGCCTTGTACCAGGCACCTGAGGTCCCGAGAGGACACTATGGGCCCAGCATCACACAGCAAGTCCACAGAGGCTAGGCTGGAACCACAGCCTGGTTAGGGATTTCTCCAAGGCCCATCTCCTCCTATCATGAAAGCTGCTACCTAGGGACCTGTTGGGTCCCACAGTGTCCCCTGATTCTCCAGAGCCCAGTGAACAGTGGTGGAAGGCAGAGATAAAACGTGGCCCAGCTCTGACTTCCAGCAGCACCTGCCAGAAGTGTCTGGAGCTCCATGGGGGACCATGGCCATGAATTCTTCTGGACCGAGTGCAGCAGGGCCCCTATCCCAGGACTGCCTGGGCTGCCACCAACCCCCACTCTGTTCTGCTTCCTTTCCAGCTCAGGAGCACATTTCCCAGTGGGACTCAGGGCCCTGAGGCCTAGCCAGGCAGCTCTCCTCCAGCCCCTGGATGCGCCAGCCCTGCTTGCTTTTCTGCCCACCTTCTGGAACAATGGCCAGGCTAGGACCACATGCCCAACATCCAAAGCATCTCAGACCTTATACATACAGGAAGCTGGACAGAGGGCGGCAGCGAGGCCAGTGGGGGATGGCAAGGAATGCTAGAGGACCTGGGGCCCCTTAGCCTGCTTTTGATTGGGAATATGGGCTTCAATTAGGCACCCGAGCATAAGACAGAGCCGGCAGTCAGACTGCTCTCCTCCATATGGGCCAAACCCCCTGGGGCAGCTGGCGCTTTCCCGCTGGATGCACCCACAAAGGATTAAACTAAGTTATGAATCAATTGGACCTGCCAATGTTTGTTTTGAAGGGGAATTCGGACGACCCAGATTCCCAGAGTGATCCTGGGAAGACCAGAGGGTTCCCGAGGTTTCACTGCTGGTTGCCTCCTACCTACCAAGTCCCTGTCTTGCTCACCTCGTGACCCAGGCCACCCTCTGGTTTTCAGACTCCTCAGTAAGGTGAAAGATCAAAGGCTCTGCAGCTCCCAGGGCTAGGCCCAAAGCAGACAGGGTAGAAACTACTCTGAAGGTCTGAAAATGGGGGGAGTGTTTTCACATACCCGGGCTGATGGTACAATCAAAGCCCGTAGAGTCCCACTCCTTTGTTCAGCTCCTCAGACATCATAGTTGGCACGTGTGTAATAAACACTCGACATCTATTAACTCATTTAAACGCTCACATGACCTCACTGGTATTACTCCCCCCACTTTACAGTTGCATAAATGGAGGCACGGTGAGGTTGGGTAACTTGCGCAAGGTCACACGGCCGGGACTCAAACCCGGCCAGTCTGGCTACCGTGTAATCTTTCCATGTTCTTTCGCTGGCTCGGCCTGTTTACTCGCGGGCGCGTGGGAAGCTCTTTTGTGCCCCTGGCACAGCGCTCGGGCACACGCGGGGCGTTCACACAGATGTCCCAACAATATCAACCACCTGCCAAGGAGCGAGCCGGGAAGTCGCGACAGGGCCGAGCCCCAGACCCCTGCCCAGACATTTGCCCAGGGCCGCCTGCGAAGGCCAGGCCTCAGGCTTCCGGGCCGGCTCGCCCGCGGCCCCCGCGGCCTCGTGGGAGGAGGAGACCGCTCTCCCGCCTGCGTGCTGTCGGGGAGTCAGCCATCGGCCGCAACTCGTTCTCAGGGACGTGGGACACGGCCTCTAGGCAGGAGCCAAGGCCGGACGGGTCCCGAGACGACGCCCTGAGCACACACAAGCGACCCCAGCCCCGAGGGCCGCGTCCCGTGCTCAAAGAGGGAGCCAGGTCCGCGCACGCGCAGCTGTGGGGTCCTGGCCCCGCCCCGCGGGCCCGCCCACCCCACGAGCCCCGTCCATCCCGCGCCCCGCCCTCCCCGGGAGCCCGCCCCTGCGGCCCGGGCCGCCAGCTTCAGCAGACACCTGCCCGAAGCCCTTCCTCGGGCCGCCTGTGCCCCGCGTCTGCTGGCCGCCCCTGCCGGGAGGGTGGGTGACCCGTCTCCGGGTGGGTCCCCCAGTGGGTGGCCGTGACGCTGCTTGGCAGCCTGGAGGCGTGTCGGAGACGTGAGTGGGCGCCGGAGGGAGTGGAGTCCGGGGGTGGCCTGGGCGCGCGCCGCCGAAGTCAGGGGGAGTGGGGTCGCGGACGGCAGGACGGGCAGGATGGCCCTCCCAGCCACCCCGGGACCGGAAGTCCGTCGTGAGTAGGGTGTGTGTGCAGACAGGTGTCACTGGGGGCGGGGCGAACTCCACCCCCACCCCCCGTCCAGGCAGGTGCAACATCCGGTGTAGGAAGAACTGCTCCGGCTCCCGAGGTGGTCTCCAGGCCGCACCCAGGGACACTGAGGCCGGCGTGCCTGTCAGTCCAGTGTCCTCTGTGGTCCTCGTGCCGGAGCTTTGGCGACTGGAAGGAAGGGTCAGCGATGGGACAGGTGATCGGCCTCAGGATGTGAGGAGGCCGAGAACGTTCGGGAACATTGTTGGCTCCTCCGGAGCTCTTTGTCCCGCTGTCGGCTCACTCGCCTCCCTCTTTTTCACAGCTCCATGCCAGGTGCACCGTCCGGGGCACTGGTGTCGTGGGCAGCCCGAACTCCCTCCATGCGTCCTCCCTTTAGTTTTTCATTCATTCTGTCAGACATTCCTGGCCCTTCATATCTCAGCACGCCCGACAATCCGGAGAGAAAGAACAGACTCTGAAATCAAAACGTGTTAGCAAAGGAATCGGTTCGTGATTATGTGTGACACAGGAAGATTCTGCACCTCACTGTGGGTCCCTGTAGTGAGTTCTGGAAAACTTAAAAGACCTGACTCACAATATGTCTGTCTGTGTGGAGTTTTATCCAGGGAACTTACTTTTCCTCGATATGGAAAACTCGTCTGAGCCGGTGTGTGTATTTTCCGCAAAGTCTATAAAAGTCCTCGGTGCTTTCGTCATGTACTGGAGGAAGTGAGGACGGGCAATGGACGTTAGATCTGGGTCTTTGAAAGCCCCCGACCTGTAATTAGCTTCCTCAGGGGAAAGAGAGAGGCAAGGCCTGCAGAGTGAGGCCCAAACTCAGGGTGGGAACCAGCCCGTGTCCAGGAGGAGAGCAGGAAAGAATGTGGAGTGGTCTGGGTTTCCGAGGAGAAAGGAAGCTTTTTCCTGAGGTTTTCCTCAGAAGTGGGCAGAGGGCCCCCCCCCCCCCGGGATGCCTTATGGCTTCAAGACAGTGTTTTCAAATGTGTTCTACAAGTCAGAGCTTTCTCTTGTAGGCTCTCTGTATTAGTGCATTTTTGTGTTTCTATAACAGAATACATGAAACTGGGTAATTTATAAAGAAAAGAGGTTTATTTGGCTCATGATTCTGGGACAGCTGCATCAGGCACGGGCCTCAGGCTGCTTCTACTCATAGCAGAAAACGGCAGGCGCCCAGCGGGTACAAGCACATCACATGGCGAGAGGAAGCAAAAGAGAGAGAGAGGGAAGGTGCCAGGCTCCTCTTAACAACCAGCTCTTGTGGGAACTAATAGAGGAAGAAGTCATTCACTACCTCCAACAGCAGGGAGGGCAATAATCTATTCAGCAGGGATCTGCCCCCATGACCCAAACAGCTCCCAACTCTGCCACACTGGGGACCAGATTTTGACATCAGCTTTGGGGGGACAACAGATCCAAACTGTATCACTCTCCAAACCTTTTTTCTTTTAAAGGGGATCTCAACCCTTGGCTTGGTGTTGTCAGCACCACGCTCACCCAGTGAGTGAACCGGCCATCCCTATATAGGATCCAAACCCGTGGCTTTGGTGTTATCAGCACCGCACTCTCCCAAGTGAGCCACGGGCCGGCCCTCTCCAAACATTTTGGTTGTAAACCTGTGTAAGTAAAAACTTGAGCATGTGCCTCTAATATGTTTATACGTTCTTATGAATTATATCCATGTACTACTATATCAGTCTGTTTCTGTTGCTTATAACAAAGTACTTGGAACCAGGTTATTTGTAATAAAACAAAATTTATTGCTTACGGTTTTGGAGGTTGGGAAGTCCAATGTCCAGGGAGTACATTTGGTGAGGGTCTTCTTTGGTGGTGGTGTTACAGCAATGCAGGGGTCTCACATGTCAGAAAATGGTGGAGCAGAGAGAGAGCTAACCTTCTCGGTTGGCTCCTTTTAAAGTCATCAGAACCACACCCATGACCACCATTAATCTACCAACTTATTACTCACTGAATGGATCAATCTATTCACTAGACATAGTCCACATGGTCCAATCACCTCTTCAAGTCCCTATTTTCTATTACCATAATAGGATTTCCCACCCTCAACAGTTACAATAGAGATTAAGCTTCACTGACTTTGAGAGGCCATTCAATCTACTGCAGCTACAATACTAAAATATTATGTACATTATGAAAGAGACACAGATAAAAACTTTTAAAGATAAAAACAGAGATAAATGTGAACATCCTAATCTTTCTGTTGTACACCCAAAGGGACTGCCTTGTGGTGCACTTGGGAAGTGTCCCCTGCTCTCTGCCCCATAGAATCTTAAATACTAGTACGTCCAATTCCGTCCAACATAGTTTTCTTCCCTCCCCAGGCCTACACTATTACACTTTTTACTGTGTGACAGAGATGAAAAAAAGGATTACTCAAAGCAACATGAAGGCAATAAGAAACACGAAGAGACTGCACCTCAGCAACTCCTCTGTTAGAAGGAGAGAACTGGGTACAGCCCTGATTCAGTGTTAGCTTCTGTTTTTTATTGTAAAGACAAGAAAGTTTCACAAGAATAAATCAGTTGATTCAATCATTTCAAAAAGACACAAAGACATGGGCAATGTGACAAAAGTTATCTATGGCTAAGTGTTAGTTAAGCAATGGAAACTAGTAACATCATTTAAATCTAAGTATAATTGTCTCCAGAGTTTCCATCAACAAACAGCTTGCCCATAGCAAACATTTTTTCACATTTTTCCCTACAGCAATTCTTTAAAATCTCTTAACAAGATTGGTATGTCAACCACCTGTTAGCTCTAAAATCATTAAAGTATACAATCCCATACCTAAACAGTGATTAGAATTGATTAGAGAGGCTTTTGCCCGCTGGCTGTGGACTTCTGTCCCTTAACTGAGGACTTTTGTCCCATACATGTATTACCTAAAAACCCTATTCTAAAATCAAATGAGAATCAAGATTTCTAACCCTCTACATTACACCCTCAGAATCTATTCCTAGATTGCTTTGCCAGATTTTTGCCAATACCAATTAGCAAAATCTCTCAGTTCTTTCGGTAATTCAGTATCTTCCTCCGAGGTTTTTTTTGGTGATTCAGTATCCTCCTCCTAGATTTGAAGTTTGTCATTGGCTCCCGGGGACATGCATGGCTCTGCCTTGTTATTTAAGTCTGGAGAAAATGAGGGATAGTAGGGTAGCGCACACAAGGAGACTCCTGGGCAAGGTCATTCCAGGCTGTATTATTTAAGGAAATGCTAGCTTCTGGCTAAAGGAAATCTCCATGACTGCTCATGAGAGGCCATGCATCACTTAAGTGCAACGGAGGAGGAGGAACCCAGGCTGACCAAGGTCTTGCCATCCTCAGCACATGGCTTCTCAGGTCACCCAGGGCATCAGGTAGCCAACTCAGGAAGCAGGAGGGTGGAGGGTCACTTGGAGGATGTTACGGGTCAGGCCTGAAAGTAGCAAACATCCCTCCCATTCGTTGACTCTGACCACACCTCAGCCACATAGCACACCTGATAAATACAAGGGAGGCTGGGGAGCTCCACCTAGCTGTGCATCCGGGAGGAAAGGGATATGGGCTCTGCAAATAGCTAGAGAGTTTCTGCCACCAGCGTCTTCAGAGTGACAAGAGAGGATTGCTTTTGCCAGAAAGGATGGCCTAAGTCTTCTGTATCTTCCTGTACGGCCCTATTTTAATAGTCTCTGATCTCCATGCTCCACGCTTTCCCAGTTAGAGACCTTTCAAGGTGTGAATCCACCTTATATATGTGAATCACTTTATAACCACTGGGTCGAGCTTTAAGTTTGGTTTTTTATTCTCTTGGCCCTGTAGCTGCAACATATTTAAATTCCATGGTTTTCTAACCATGCCTTAAGCCAAGAATTCGAACTGAGCACCTACTACACGCCCGGCCCTAAGTGAGTGGCGGGGATACGGCAGTGAGCGGGATTCCTTGTCCTCCCCCACTATTGAAGAGCTGTCCTCTTGAGTGGAGAGTAGAGAAGGAAAGGAGGCCAGACCTGAACAGCATGAGGTCCCTCCAAGAGGGGATGTGGCCGTGGTGGAGCATAGAGGGCTACGTCACTTGGCTCCTCAGCGCCACCTGAACCACCTGCCACTGGCTCTTGACTGCAAACCCACACATCTCTCTGATGTAGCCAAAAGGAATGCATGAAACAGGAATTGCCTGGGAAGTGGGGACAGCCCAAGGCTGCCTTGGGCAGGCCGTGGGGATGCTGGCTGGGCCTCTGCATGCACCATGTCTGTACACTTTGGCCTTCTCTAGGCCTGAAAACAGTGCCTTTTGCATTTTTCCTACTCCCAGCACAGTTGCAAACATTTCAGTTTCAGGTCACACTTTTGGGCTGAGTGAGTTTCCCTGCTGCTTAATGAACACTGACCCAAGTGGAGTTACGAGGCTGGGGGAGAGTGGGGGTGAGGACAAGGGTTTTGGAAAAATTCCTTGCCTGGGAATTGAGAAGCACAGATAATGAACCCATTTCTGCACGTGAAATGCTTCATGTCCTTTGGCAAGTCCTTTCGCCTCCTGGGGTCTCTGTTTACTTATTTGAGAAATGGAGAGTGAAGATATTTGCTCTTCCTGGCTCACAGCGTTCTTGTATGAAATGTAAAAGGACTTTGGAAAGTATAAGCCACTCAACAAATGAAAGGGCCTATTTCTGTATATCCTGAGAGAGGAATCAGAGGGTGGGATGTGAATTGCATGGTGGGCCAGTGTTGCAGGTGATAGAAAGGACAGCCTCTGTGGTACAGTTCAGACCCCAGGGATCCCTGTGGGATCAGGCTGAGGGTGGAATTTAGCTAAAATCTCCAGGAGTTCAAG